TCCCACCTAGGTCCAAAGGCTTACTCTCCACCCCAGCTGCCAGCTGACCCAAATCGGTTGCAAAATGCCAAGCACCAGGCGCTTTGGCCAGCGACTCGAACTTCGTCCAGCCCAGGCTGGCACCGTCCTTTTGATTGACCTTAGTGTGTGCGTGGATTCCGGCTGGGGCAGGTATATAGGTTGTAGCTTTCGAACGGTAGATAAGTTCCGGGCTTCGAAGGCAGTTCCATACTTCTGATTCACCATATCCAAGCGTTTTTTCTGGGCACCGTAGATGTAGAAGCACCCGGAATATGGGTTAAACCTGGTCGCTGCAGTGGCACTGAACATATATTAATTACCACAGCACAGAATATGCTGAGGAATGGGCCAAACCCCGATCCTGGATACACCCGCCTTCAAGGTGACAGTCCATGACCTTCAATTCGTGAAGTTGGGATTTCTGGGATGGGATGTGGCTTGATCACTTAGGCTCTCACTTCCTGTTGCTGTCAGAAGACAGTACACCGTGGTCCAGCACCAGCCGGGTGTCCTTCTTGGCCAGTGCTTCGAAGCGAGGTCGCCAGAGGTCTTTCACCTCCCGGCATGACTGCATCATGTTCACTGTTTACTTCGTGCCCTGGGCCAACCTTCGCGAGCTTTGCGTCCGGCTCGGGCGGTTCAGGGCTTTTCTCCGGTGCTTTTTCGGGCTCTTCCTCTTGTTCCTGCTCCTCCTCCTCTTGCTTCTCCTCTTCATCCTTCGGGGTCTCCCTGGCTTTTTTGGCGGGTGTTTCCTCGGGCTCCTCGCGGGCTGCTGGTCGTTTGATAGCCTTTGGGCCTTCTCCTCCTCCCCTTCCTTTGCCTCCTCCTCCCCTTCCTTTGCCTCGTCCTCCCCGCCCACGTCCTCCCCGCCCACGTCCTCTGCCTGTGTTGCCCGGAACGGAGTCCGGGGATCGTGGATCCTCGGACCCCTCGTCTCCTTCCTGACGATCCTTTTTCTGTCGAAGCGCTTTCCGTGTCTTGACTTGAGCCTTACAATGAACTGCTCATAATTGCAAACCGAATCATGTTATGACACAATGCTTTCAGCAATCGGACAAGCAAGCCTCCAAAACAAGGTTCGGGTCATCCTTCGCGCTCTCATTCAGCATCTTCTCGGCTTTGGCTTTGAGGGGCTTCGGGATCTTAGGGGCCGAAACCTTCTGGTCTTTCTTCTCATCCTTGCAAACAAAGTACCAAGCTACAATATAGTGCGACAAGCGAGCTCAACACAAAGCCGAAGTCCTTGAAGGCCCCCTTTGTTGCATCATTCTCGGCGTCACTCTCCAAACCTTCCCCTGGCAAGCACTCATCGTCTTCCTGGGCCTCTTCCTCACCCCCTTCCTCTGCACCGCAGGTCCCAGTGGCATCATCGGCATCTTCCTGGAAGCAACAGCAGCAGAAGCAGCAGCTGGCAGCAGCACCACATAGCATAGGTTACCCTGGTTTGTGCGATATAGTAGCAGGAAAGTTCC